TCCTCCTGACCCCGGCCTGGCAGCCCCAGTGTTAAAGGGGATGTCGCAGGGGGTCTCTGTTGACCCGGATGGATGTTGACTGCTTGTTGTTCAGCTGGGGGACAAAGCCATCAATGACAACCTGCCCGTCTGTCCCCGGGGAGCCACTTACAGCCCTGTCCTCTCTCCCCTCAGCACACGGCCGCGGGCGACGAGGGTGGCGGCCAGTCGCTGGTGTCGCCGGGCAGCTGTCTGGAGGACTTCCGAGCCACACCCTTCATCGAGTGCAATGGGGGCCGAGGGACCTGCCACTACTATGCCAACAAGTACAGCTTCTGGCTCACCACCATCCCCGAGGAGAGCTTCCAGGGCTCGCCCTCCTCCGACACCCTCAAGGCGGGGCTCATCCGGACGCACATCAGCCGCTGCCAGGTGTGCATGAAGAACCTGTGAGGCCGCCCGGCCCGCCTCTCCCTCGGTCCACGGGCAGCGGGGCCGCCTTGGTGCTTACTCTTAACTTATTACCTCAGATGACCATCCAAAAATCAATTTCATTTTTTTCTTTAAAAAGCAAGAAAAGGTAACCAAAGGAATTCAGCACCAGCACTTACACCACATAGCCACTTGTCTCCCCAGGCGCCCGCCACCCTGCCCCCACAGAGTGCGGCCCGCCTGTGACACTGACACCCCTCCAAAACGGAAAACCGTTAACAACCCAGCACCTGTCAGCCGTACTAGACTGTAATGCGCTAGGTGTAGCTACCTTCTTACCACGTACCCATGTAGTCACTGCGCTTCCAGACACCACAGACGACCCTTAGTTAACTCACTTAGTGGGGTGGTATAGACAGATGAAGCCTGGCAGCCCAAGGGCTCCTGAACTCCCTCCGCTCTCCCCACGGGAGGGTCTCCCGGGGCGGCCCGGCTCTGCCCTCTAAGCCTTGATGGCAGCACTGTTTCCTCCGGAGACCGTGGATGTGACCCATCCCAGTCCCCTCAGGAAGGCCGGCCTGGCCTTTCCTACTACAACTCTGATGGTCGCACACTGGCCACCATTCCTCCTCCGGGTCCTCACAGACCACTGGGTTTGGCAGAACTCGTGTGGCGGCAGAGACCTTCTGAGCCTGTCATCCACCAGGCCCCTTGATGGCGGAGAGGAGTTGGGGGTGTGTCCCCACCCCCAGGTTGTCTGGAGACTCAGCCCGCTCTCTGTGGTGCGTGCGCTCCCGCACCCACTCTGTCCTCTGTAACCACCACGGAATAAAAGTTGGTTTTGAACGTTTTTATACCCAAGTTGTTGACTGCCTGAACTTTCTCGAGTCTGTAGAGCACAAAATTTGCCATAGTCCGGGGCGCCACCTCTGGCCTGGGGCTAGCAATGTGCATGGCTAGGCACCAGCCGCTGATTTTCTGAGTCAGCAGCCTTGAACCCAAGTCTGTGGTATTGTCATTCATTTCTCGGGGAGCTGTGTTTGTGCTTATAATCCTTAAGGTTTACAGAAAACATCCCGACCATCACTCATAGGAATTGGGAGGATGAGTACTTCACAAACGGCCTTGCAAAGCCATCCAATTTGTTCCGACATAGCATCCAAATCAAATCATAGTATTTCCAAGAAATAGTCTCCAAGACGAGTTTCTGGCTTCGATTTCTCTGGAGCCTGGCTGACCTTTGGGAACTCACTCACAGAATTTATTTTTACCCTTTAAAATTCAATCTCCTATTAAACTTTTTCTAAGAACAATTTCCACATAACGAAATAAGTATTCCACCAGATAATGTTATTTGAAACAGATCAGCAACTGTCTTGTCTTGTATTCCCCCAGATGCTCAAGAGACAAGGACTCTGCACAGGAGGGTTATTTGGGGACGTGATTCCAGGGGATGGAGTGGGGCTGGAGCAGAGTGAACCCAGGAAGGAGGGCACCTTCCTAAGGGGGTTACCACCATGGGCAGTTGAGGGCTCTGTCCTGGGGGAACCCACTGAGGAAGGACACAGAAGGAGCCTGAGATTGTCCCTCCAGGGCATAGGAAAGGACGTTTGCAGCCTCCAGCTCTTGTCCCCAATGGTCAAGGGTTGCCCACGAGTGTTGGCTCCCTCTCACTTCTGGGTATGCCATGGCTGGGTGGGCAGGGGGGTGGGCTGCAGCATCCCAGGTCGGGGCAGCAGAGAGCCAGGCAAAGCTGATGCAAGGTACCGTAGGCTACACCTATACACAGCTGGTTTCCATAGCAACAGCTGTAGCAAAAAGATGGCCCAAGAGGCTGTGAGGCTGAGGCTTGACAGATGCGCAGTGCAGCACCCCCAGCAAAGCCTGTGGAGGCAGCTGTTGATTACAGACCCCAGTCCCCACCATCAAGGGGCAATCATGACGTTGTCTCCATCCCGAAGACTCCTGCTGGACTTGGTTTAAATTTGAGGCCTCTATGTTGTCCACACTTCAGGGTTAGGTGCTGAGCCACGAAGGACGGGGCACGGAGGACCCGCATCCTCCCTAGAGGCACATACACCCAGGTAGCCCGAGCCCTCCCCACTCTTGGGGCCCTTGCAGAACACAGGCTGACTCAGGAAGCCCTGCCTCCCTTCCACGGCCCAAGCTCAAGAGCAAAGGACAGCTGGGGTGCAGGCAGGCTCAGAAGGCGTGGGCCATGTGATGGCACAGACCGGCCGTAACACCAGCCATTGCCGCAGAGGCGGTTTGATCATCCCAGGACAGGGTCCAGCTTCTCCGTGGGGGGACACGCTCTTGCCTGGAGCTGACTTATCCCTAATTGTACACTTAGAAAAATTCAGTTTTACCTGCAGAGTTCTTGGAAAAGAAATTCTTGCATCTGGATTATGAGGCTTCTGTGTGGGGGGTCCCCACACCTCCCTCCCACCAGGAGGCGCTCGCTCCCGCTTATGGGCACCCCCCCTCCCCCACAGGGGCATGAACGACTGAGTGTGGCCGAGGAAGAGGGTAGGAAGTGCCCCCGGAGAGACACACGCTGTGCGTCCTGGAGATGATGGTGGCCCTCCCCAGGCCGGCCAGCCCCTGGATGGGGAATGGGCAGGACTGGCCCCGCTCACCTTCCTGAGACACCAGCAGCCCTGACTGACCTGAAGAACTGACCTGGTTCCCTGGTCGGGAACGGGGCCCACGTGAGGTCCATCCAGAAACCATGGGCAGGCTGGGACCCAAGGACCAGGCTCCCTATGGAGAGCGCAGGCTGGCACCCAAAGTGCACTTGGGACAGAGCCAAGACTGAAGTCTATTTTGAGGGCAACAATAAAGCATGAAATGTTTAAGTGGTGTTGATGGAGAATGCCATCCCTGGGCAACCCCCCAGAACTTGTGGCCATTCGGGGACACGAGCTGGGGACGGTGCTCAAGGCAGATGGGCAAGAGATTTCGAAGACTATTCGGGAGGAGAGGGCCTTGGGAATCCATTCAGCCAGCCCTGCCTTCAAGCATGAACCAGAGAAATAATTCACAAGGCTCTTTTTCCCTCCACAGCCTCCAAAGACAAGTTCCAGGGTCTCTCTGGGTGGTGGTGTATTTCCTAGATGTGTCACCAGCAAAGACGCACTTTCCTGAAAATAAATACAACTCCTGCCCATACACTGGCAAATTAAATCAAATCAATGAAAAGTAATCAAACTGTCCCATTTTCATTTTTCAATGGGCTACAGTTGTGAAATTGAAGTGTGAGGCCTCGAGACAGGCTTCAGGAACAGGACGCCTTAACTGAGGTACCCCATCACACACAGGAGGCTTTGCCAGCACACTATCCTGCAGACCAGGTGCATTCACTCACTGGAGAGCGTGCACCACAGAGGGCAGAGGAGGCAGCCTGCAGGGGCCCAGAACAGAGATCATGGCACCCACCAAAATTACTGAACACCCCCGCCAAAAAAAACTACTCACTAGGGGCCGACCCCGTGGCTTAGCGGTTGGGTGCGCGCGCTCCGCTACTGGCGGCCCGGGTTCAGATCCCGGGCGCACACAGGCGCACTGCTTGTCTGGCCGTGCTGAGACCACGTCCCACATACAGCATCTAGAAGGATGTGCAACTATGGTGTGCAGCTAGGTACTGGGGCTTTGGGGAGAAAAACGGGAAACAGAGGAGGAGGATTGGCAGTGGATGTTGGCTTAGGGCTGGTCTTCCTCAGCAGGGAGGGGAGGATTGGCATGGATGTTGGCTCAGGGCTGATCTTCCTCACAAAAAAAAAACTACTCACGAGACATTGTTTTCTCACTGGCCTTCTGCCTCCCTTTGCTTTCTGTCATGGACTGAATGTTTGTGTCCCCCCAAAATCCACGTTGAAGCTCTAACCCCTAGTGTGACAGTATTTGGAGGTGGGGTCTTCGGGAGGTCAAGAGGGTGGGGTCCTCATGATGGGATCAGCACCCTTATAGAAAAGAGAGACCAGAGTGCTCCCTGTCTCCACCATGCGAGGACACAGTGAGAAGGTGGCTGCCTGCAAGCCAGGAAGAGGGCCCTCACCAGAGACTACATCAGCCGGTGCCCTGATCTCAGAATTCCAGCCTCTGGAACTGTGAGAAATAGCCGTCTGCTGTCGAAGCCGCCCGTCTGTACGTCGTTAGAGCAGCCTGAGCTGCTGAGACACCTTTCCCACAAAGAGCCCCAAGTCTGGCCTACTTGCTCTCAATTAAACCTCTAAGAAAACAAAAACTGTTGTTGTCTCACAGCTTCCCTGTCTCAGCATCTTCTAACAACAAAGCAGCCCACCCCCCAGCCACAGAAAGGGGGCTTCTGATTCAGTAACTGCCAGGGAACCCAAAGAGACCTAAACACAGAACTTTTAGTCTTGCTTTTATTATTGGAAGTCATGCCATCAAGATAACTAGGCAGATAGGCCAATCTGAATATTTCAGAATTTGTAAGGACTCACTGTAGCTTTTAAAGACAGAGAGAAGTACCTTACACTCTCAGCCATCTCCCAAGCGCCCCCAGCAAGGAGTCCACTGGGAGCCCAAATTAAGTCTAAACCACTAGAGTCTCCACACCAAGGTTTTTCTCAAAACCTTTTTAATAATATGTGTAGATCACACTATTGCAACCAATATAAAAACCGTGATTCCTGATTTCGTCTAAATTCACATGTCGAGAATCATTATGAGGACTCAAGATACAAGGACCAAAGATAAATCACAGTGAAGAGGGATGTCTGAGAACAACAGACATGAAGGTCGTGCAGGTGTCGAGACAGGTGCACACACACCAGGCAACGGGTGCCCGTCGGAGCCAGGCTATTAGGAGAGGAGCAGCAAGGGGACGGGGCTCCAGGAGTCCCGGCTCTGCAGAGTGGGTTCTGTAAATGGTCCATCTGCTCCCACCGCAGCGATGGAGACGGAGGCGACTGCGCACGTTGAGTTTCTCTTCATAACCAGCTGTCCATTCCACTCTGGTCTCCTCCTCCGGGCGTCATTACAAAGTAACGCCTTGACTTTCTGTGCCCCTTCTGACTGCAGGTCTGTTGGCCACACGCCTGCCAATCGTGTAAACGGGGGGCCGGGGGCCCTGCGAGTCAGGCACAGCACCCAGCTTTGGTCTGTCTGGGCGGCTTGTAACTGCTGATGTCCACGGTCTGCACTGGCCCCTGGGCTCTCTGCTGCAGGATCATGGGCACCACCATCTCAAACAAGGTTTCAAATAGCAGGTCCACATTGTGCCCGGTTTTGGCGCTGGTCTCAAAGCACATCTGCTCAGCGGCTGGCGCATCCTTCTCATCCAGCATCTTGTACCTCAGGATCTTTTTATAGAGGGCCATCGCGTCCTCCAGCCGCACATGCTTGGGCACCTTGGGTGACGCACCGGCCGTCCCGGGGCTGTGTCCTTCCTTCTCCTGGCTCTCCGTGGCCCCCTCCTCCCTCAGGTCCACCTTATTCCCCACGATGGCGAAGAGGCAGTCGGTGTTGGCCGTGTCCGTCAGGCCCAGGAATCTGTCCTCCAGCTCCACCAGGCTCTGCGGGTGGTTCACATCGTAGGTAAGGATGACGGCGGCCGCCCCCCGGCAGTACATGGAGCCCAGGCCGTGGAACTGCTCACGCCCTGGCAGGGGAGGGAAAGAAAGATGTAGTTATCTCTCCTCTTGGGATGCACCCACTGACCACGCGGCCCGGGAGCCCAGGGAGGGACGATGCAACCTCGAGCCCAAATATGGGTGTGGCTGGACGGGATGGAGACTCTGGCATGCAGAAAGAAGTGACCGGCCAAGGCCCCACGGGATCTAAGTGCCACACCCTCTCCTCCAGGAGCCTGCAGGCCCGTCCCCACAGCAAGCAGTTCCCAGACACCCTAGTCACGCACACCCTAGTTACCCTACAAGACCAAGGAAGACACCCCGGGCCCCACTTCCCTTCTTATTAAAGGTTGTATGGACCGTCTGACTATTGCATTTTAAAAGAAGTTTAAATAAAATGCTACCACCAGGGGTCTGAATTCTTGATGACATAGTCTGTGCCACATCTCAGCATCAGCCGTTCTGACACGGCACCAAGCAAACCTGCCTTTCACATGGGCGCATGGCTCCTGGGGCCCAACGTCCTGCTCCACCTCAAGGCTGCCCAGAGGCCCCGGCACCCGTGCAGGCCAGTCCTCTTGACTCGGGCCTCCCAGAGGCACCAAGGGCCCAGGAGGGGCCAAACTGCTGGGGGGAGCTGAGAAGTGAGGTAAGACGGTGGAGAACACACACATGCACACATGCACACACACATATGCACACGCACACACACGTGCGCACACATACACGCCCATAAGCACGCACATGCACACACACACACTAAGGAGGCTCTCTCTCTTTTGGAACAAACTACGGAAAACAAGGCACCTTCACTTGCACTCAGCGGCAGACAACTTTGCAGACTTGGAAATCCCAGCACCGGAAGGCTGGCCCCCGTCCTGGTCCCTGTCTTGTCACGGCCGGCCGGCTGGCCAAGCTCAGACAGGACACCTCACATCTCAGGCTCACCAGCTGAAGCCTAGGGCCCCCCATCCTCCTCTCCCCTCTGCTTCCCTTCCGTACCTGCCCACGGCCCAGTGAGGGGTGCAAAGGACCCCACAGGCCCCAGGTGGAAGCCCCAGGGGAGGGAGAGCACACCCACAAAAGAAGGTCCCAGGAGGACCCAGACGCCTGGAGACGGTCCCCAGAACCCAAGCCCAGGGGCTGCTCCCACTCTGGACGCCCAGAGGGTGGCCTTCCAGAGCGAGGTGCCATGGAAACCGACACCTCACACAGGGGAGTGAGGTTTTCTTTGCTTTTTCCGTTTTTAGAGGAAATGGGTGTCTTCAAAGTTTCGACAAACCACCGCGAGAACTCAGCATGGCCCTGTGCATAAACCACCCTTGGGCTCACCTCCTTCCCACAGGTCCTTTGGTGACAGTGTGGGTGCGGGCGGGGCACCCCCAGGCCTTCTGCTGTCACTTCCCTGAGGGTCCCCGACGCCCTTCCAGATTCCACCTCCAGCGTCCTCCCGGCCCCGGCGCTCCCTCTGAGCTCCGCTCACACACTGCACATGTCTTGGTTCTGCGGTTAATATATATTTGTCCCTCCGCCAGCCAGGAAGGCTGGGTGGTGTGGTTTTACCTGCCCCTATATTCGGTGCCAATGAATCCACTGTGTAAGTGAAGCCACAAATTATCCCCTCCATTTGTTTAAAAAAAACCCACACAGTTTTTCTCTTATGTAAGGTTTATTGGTTTGTTCTGTAACAATTTGGTCTGATTTGCAAGGTGGGTAATTTACACCCTGCACCCCGGAGTCTCAACTCCCCACCTTCACTCTGAACGGCAGCCTGAGGGGAAGAGGGTGAGGGAGGGAGGGGGAGGAAAGGAGGGAGGATGGGGAGAGAGGACAGAGTGAGGGAGTGGGGAGAAGGGAGGGGGAGGGAGGTAGGAGAAACCCAGAGGTGTTAAATCCCCAGAAAACTGAAAGGTTGTCCCACTAGAGTATTTTTTACTCCTCTGTGTTAAATCATTAGAAAACCTATGTGTAAACTGCACAGGTCACAGCTAAGCGGCACGGCCCATGGCCCCTTGCACTGAGGTCGTCTTCGGAGGCCGCATTTGACCTGCGTTTGTGTCCCTGGGATTCCCGTCTCCCCCTTCACTATGGGGAGACGGTTCACTGACTCCACTAAGGGTAACTCATAATTCAGAATGGGGCCTCCTCCTGAAGCCGTGCCAGGCCCAGGGTTCATCACCCCTCCTGCTGCTGCCATCTGATTCCATACCCGCAGATGGCGATGGTGTGGAGGAAAACCCGCCTGCACCCAAGCTCCCCAGGCGTCCCTCCTCCCCGCTCCCGATGCGCCTGTGCTCCTGATGAGCCTGTGCACCAGGAGGAGCCCAGGAGAGGCCGGACTGACGTCCTCCTGGCTGGCTTCTTGCACCCACACAGCACCTTGCAGAGTTAACTCTGTTTTTATAACATTCTTGACGGCTTCTCTCCAGAACTGGAATCCTGAAGAGCCAGGTCTGGAGTTTGCGTTTCTGTGTGGGGTGTGGCACCCACCCATCCCGCCGGTCAACACCTCTGACAACACAGGGACACTGCAAACGAGGGGCCAGTCTAGCGGGTAATCGCTCAGCCCCTCCCAAGCACTTCAATCTCACAGGGCCCACAGGGGCCACATTTTCTCCCTGAAGGATAAGGGAAAGCTCGAGGAGGACTGGTTCAGGGGACTCGATCACTCCTCTGCCCTAGACGCAAACACAAAGATCCCCACACCAGTGATGAGAAGGTAAATTAAAAGTTCCCCAGTCTTTATATGCTCGCCCAACACAACCATCTAATTACAGCGTCAACAGGTTAGCAACACACTCCTGCAAGTAACACAGACACTTCATCCTGCCCTTGGGTAATATCCTGCCCTTGGACCCCTACCCAGCGCACTCAGACCCCCAGCCCATCCCCACCAGCAGCTCCCAGACAGGCTGTCTCACGATCACCTCTGCACTATTGCTGATGAAATTCTGTGACTCTGCCCATAGTGTTTAGTTTGGACCACAGAGCTTCACACCCCCAGGAGGCCCATGACCTTCACCAGGTACTTTATTCTCACCATCCTCTAACTGAAATTTAGCATTTCCTTTGATTAGACATATTGGCAACAAACCATAGACATGATCATTAGGACCAGTCCCTGTGGCTTTGTCCCTGATACAAATAAGAGAGGCTTTCAACTCACGTAACAGTTGTCATGGCCTCTCCAAGTACTTCTGCTCATCACCCCTCAAAATCATAACAGCTATTAGACCTGCGGCTGTGAAGGAAGCCTGGTTTCCCGGTAAACTTTGGCATTTTATTGCATGCATTTAAACACAGAATTCGGAGGAAGGGTCACAGTCTCAAACCACTGGGACACAAAGGGATCCCTGACAACAAAGAGGTGAGGAACCCTTGGTCTGTGGGTGTTTGGAGCACGGATTGAAGGCATGATACCTGCACACATATATTCATATAAAACACAGTGTCCTTTGCCAATAAACCACTGTCTTCAGCCAAATGGCCAAGAAACACAAACAAATTCCACCCAACCCCCAATCATTCTGGAACGGCCACTTTCTGACACAGGCCAGGCGGCGCTGCCTCATTTGGGGCAGGCTGGTCACCCCCATGTCCAGCCCTGGAGAGAGCAGCCTGCTGAGAAAGACATCCTGGGAGAAGGGCCCAGCATGGACCTACCCTGACGCTGACTTTTTCGCCCAGGGCCAGACCCAAAGCCGGGGCTCCTCCCAAGTCCCCACTTCTCCAATGAAGCCCCAACTGTTTCCCCAGATGATCTGACAGGGAGGGGAGATGGAGAGGGTGACGCCCGGCCAGAGCTGGCAGGATTGGAGGTACACGTCCTGCCCTGCAGCGATCCTGAAGGTCGAAGTGACACGCCAGAAAGCAAGCGTACCGTCACCGGGCTCGCTGCCCTCTTCCGGGAAGAGCAGCCGGCTGACAAGCGGCATGTACTCTGGAATTCAGCACCCACAGAACAACATTCCTGTCCTTTAGCACACTGATAGCAGCTCAGTCCTAAGACTGATAATTTAATTATAAGTTTTCATGTCAAATTACACTGCGCACCAACAGGCAGAAACTAAACAGAATTTTCCCGTCTCTTCGTGGACCCCCTAAGGGACATGATGATCAAGAAGTCTTTAAAAACAAATTTAAAAACTGGCAATAGCAGATGTTAGTTAAAAAGAAAAGAAAGAAAGAAATGCTTTCCCATCATTACAGATGAGCAAGGACTTTTCTTCTGGACACTAATCTCATATGTAGTGATCCGGGCACCATGAGGTTTTCCAACAGCTAAAAATGTCATCAGCGCCCACCCACTAGATTTCACAAGAGAGCGACTAAGGGAAAATAAAGTGACATTCCAGTAACCCTGGGAGAGGTTTTTCCAAGTCTGTTACCGAGTTCACTGAGGACAAAAAGGTGACCGTGTTAACGTCTAAAATCATTTTTTTCCTGATAAAAATGTCTGATTTGCCTTTAAAAAACTAAAAAAGTAAATAATAATAATACAAAAAGAAAAAATAACTAAAGGAAGTAGGAACTGAGCAATCTCAAATGCCAGCCTGAAAAGAGAGTAAATAAGAGAAGCTATTCAAATCACGAAATCTGTTATCTACCCATTAACCAATGCAAACAAATCAAATGAAGTTACTCCAGCTGAAGAATTTACAATTAAGTGGTTTTCATACTTGAAATTCTTAAACATCGTTTTAGATATACTCTATAGCTTTCAGGCTGCTTTCAAATGAACATAGTGCTCATAACAAGACAGCCAGTCCCACAGGGAACGGAAGTTCTGAATTTAATCCTAACTGAATTTAAGTGGGGGCCCTGGTATTTCCGGCATCAAAAAGACAATGAAGATAAAGTGCTAAGTAAGACTCGACCTTTGGCAGCTGGCTCTGCCAAATTCAGAGCCTATTTGAATTCAAGGCTCTCTAGTAAGCTGTCCGGTAGTTTGCGAATGTGCACTGAGCTACGAAGTCAGGCTCCTGCTACTCGAAATAAACGTCAGCTCCTCAACCCTCCGGAGCCTTGA